ATACCTGTTTCTTGCATACTTGGAATGAGAACACACATTGGGAAAGAAAACTCTCTAACTGACAATCTGTGATTTGAAATACCCTGTCTATTTCAGGTTGGTATATTCCTCTCCATTTTATATTTACTGACATTATCCAAAGAGAATGGATTTGGGTCAGTGAGGTACTGTTCAGGTACAGCAGTAGTGAAAAACAACGCCACTTAATAATGATCTGTAATTTAAAAAAAAATCCTAAGTTCTCAGCTGCTAACTAAAAGGTTGGCAGTTCGAACCCACCCAGTGCCTCCATGGGAGAAAGACCTGGTGATCTGCTTCTGTAAAGATTACAGCCTAGAAAACCCTATGGGGCAGTTCTACTCTGTCACGTGGGATCACTATGAGTCAAAAATCTACTCAATGATAACGAACAACAATTAAAAACAAAAAGGTATATTCTCTAAAAATTTGGTAGTATGGCCACTCAGTAATCAGAGAACTAAATCACTCACGATTTATAGATCAGACACATTTTCTTCATATCCTATCCCTAGCAACAGCGTCCTTTCTAACTCTAACACTCTACGGTTTCATGTGTAATATCAGAGATTTCTTAATACGAGGAGATACAAAAAATGCATAGGATAAATATCACTTGAAAAAATCTATCAAGACTCTCTGCTAAAAGTGGATGTGACAGGAGCCAACGGAGGTCAGTCATCCCCTGCTGTCATACCTCAAACCCACCACATTTCACAAGCTTTACTGTTTTTCACAAGTACCTTTTATTTTCCCTTTTCAGTAACTTTCCACAATTCTGAATCTACTAAAAATGGTGTAAAACTCATTCAAGAGTTTATGGCTTTAGGACTAAAACAAATGGAGGGACCCAGTGGCAAGGAAAGGGACATGCCCCCTAACTAGAACATTATTAAACCCATTTTACAGAAAAGGAAACAGAGGTGCAGAGAGATATGTAAATCACTCAAGTACTCACACTTACAAGCAATACAGCAGCCTAGGAAACAAGTCTGACAGAGGGAAAGGCCTGTTCTCTGCTCTCTGAACACATGGTCACCACTGGTGAAGCCTTCTACTGCTCAGCTCTCCCATCTCATTCTCCCTAGCCCTCTGCACTCTGAGTTATGGTGGACATGATCTCTGCTACATCCTTAGTCTCTTCAGAAAATGTTCGTCTACCTCCTTCATAGTTCAGGATTTTTCATCTTCAGCACTACTGACATTTGGATCAGATAATTCTTTGCTGGGGCTAAGGGGGACCTGTCCTGTGCATTGTAAGATTTTTAGCAGCATCCCGGGCCTCTACCAAGTAGATGCCAGTAGCACCCCCTCCCCTTCCCAGTAATGACAACCAAAAACATCTTCAGACATTGCCCAAGTTGAGAATCATGTCCTTAGCTGGATCCTGCTCTACAACAGACACCCCTGACCCTTCACTCTCTCGAGAGGAGTCTGCTCATCTCTCACACCTGTAAACCAAAGGGCAAGGCCTCAGAGGTGGGTCCTCTTAGCCTTTAAGACACCACTCTTTCATCTTCAGGTAAAGACACTTCCCCTTGAGGCTCACACCACCTTCTTCCCCCCCTCCTCAGGTGTATCGTTTACCACAGCCTAACACTCTGTAACACATGTTGAGGACTTTGGCCCCTAGTTTTCCATGAAGAGTCATGTAAACACAGAAATGACAGGAAGCGTGATAAGAGCAGCAATAGAGACGTGAACTGCTGAAGCAGTTAGCTCATCAAAAGGTGTAGAATCATAAAACAAGGTGTGTTCATTTCCAAGGGCTGCCATAACAAATTACCACAAACTGAGTGTCTTAAAAAAACAGAAATTTATTCTCTCATGGTTCTGCAGGCAAGAAGTCTGAAATCAGGATGTCAACAAGGTTGGTTCCTTCTGGAGGCTCTGAGGGAACATCTGTTCCATGCCTCTCTCCTAGCTTCTGGTGGTTGCTGGCAATCCTCAGTGTTCCCTGGCTTAAAGATGCCTCGTTCCAAATCTCTGCCTCCATCTTCCCTCTTTGTGTGTCCGTGTCTCTTCTCCCTTCTTATAAGCACACCAGTCATATTGAATTTAGGGCCTGTTCTATTCCAATATGACCTCATCTTAACTAATTCTATCTGCAAAGACCCTAGTTTCAAGTAAGGATACATTCTGAGGTTCTGAGTGGATGTAAATTTGCAGGGGGACGTTATTCAACCCAGTCAGTACACAATGATATGCTCACATTTTTAACTTCCTGTACAAACTTAAAATACGTAACTGTACATTCATTCTGTAGTCTTTGCTCACTTCTGTCTCCTGTAATCGTGTCCAGCACATACAGGGTTCTCAATCAGTGTCTGCTGGGTTTTGGAAAATGAAAAGAGTTTTCCAAGAAGACAAAAATGGGAAAGAACTGCCTAATCAGAGGAATGAGCAGGCACAGGCACAGAGGCGTGAACTAAGGTAGCGAGTGTGTGGACCATAAACTTTTCTGCACTGCTGCCATATGAAGTGCAGAAGGGAGTAGGAAGTGGTGAGAAACTGGATAGAGAGTTTGGCAAGCCTAGATCATCATCTTCCTTTTCAGAAAGATGATGGAATAAAAAAGGAAGACAGAAGAGGAATTGACATATTCGAAATGTGGTGTTGGTGGAGAATATTGAATATACCACGGACTACCAGAAAAACAAACAAATCAGTCTAGAAGAAATACAACCAGAATGCTTTTTAGAAGTGAGGATGGCAAGACTTCATCTTGCTTACTTTGGACACATCATCAGGAAAGACCAATCACTAGAAAAGGACATCCTGTTTTGTAAAGTAGAAGGACAGTGAAAATGAAAAGGAAACCTTCAGTGAGATGAACTGACACAATAGTCACAACAATGGACTCAAACAATCATGAAGATCGTGCATGACTGGGCAACATTTTGTTCTGTTATACATAAGGTCGCCACGTGTCGGAGCTGACTCAACAGCAACTAACAACAACCATCATCTGTTTTATACATTAGAACCACACTCTGGTGGGAACAAAGAGCACAGACTGGAGAAGGGGTGAGGTGAAAGGAAAGATGGCTAACTGGAAAGTGCTACAGATGCATGGTGGTCCAGGGTGGTAGCAATGGCATGAAGAGCAGGAGATAGAGTTTAGTGGCAGTCAGGCTGCCCAGCTGACAGGACCTGGTGACATAGAGATGTGGGTGGTAAGGGAGAGGGAGGTGGCTTACTGAGACCTCCACAGGTACCTGTCTCACACCAGTAAGTCAGTGGGGGCTTGCGTGCTGCTCTGATGCTTAACAGGTTTCAATGGAGTTTCCAGACTACAATGGACTAAGAAAAAATGTTTGGCCAATCTACTTCTAAAAATCAGCCAGTAGAGACCCTATGGATCGCAACAGTCCAATCCATAACCAACCATGAGGATGGCGCAGGACTGGCCAGCATTTTGTTTCACCGTGCATGAAGCCACCACAACTTGGGAGCCAACTTGATGGCAGCCAACATCAACAATGGAGACCTCTGCCAGGCATTACCCTTCCAGTTGCTGGAGGTCTAGAGGGTTTGGGGGGAGGGGTTGGGACAGCCAGGGAGGTACTCAAGGGGGTCGGGGTAACAACTATTCATTGGCTAAAAACCAAAACCAAACCCATTGCCATCAAGTCGATTCCGACTACAGGGTCGCTACGAATCAATGAAACAAAATGTTGTTAGTACAGAAGAATTCTGTGTTAATTAGCAAGAGATGAACACCTACCCTATGTTAAGGGCCTTAGAACAAGGGTTGGCAAACTTTTTCTATAAAGAGCCAGACAGTAAATATTTTAGGCTTTGCAGGCCATAGAGTCTCTGCCATTGTAGTGCAAAAGCAGCCACAGACAATATTGTCTAAACAAGTAAGTGCATGGGTGGTGTTATGGACTGAACTGTGTCCCCCAAAAATGTATGTCAAGATTAGGTTTTGTCTTAAGTCAATCTCTTTTGAGATTAAGAGAGCAGTGAGCAGAGGGACAGGGAGACCTCATACCACCAAGAAAGAACCACTGAGACGGGAACCTCAGACCACCAAGAATGAAGCACTGGGAACACAGACTGTCCTTTGGACCCGGGGTCCCTGCACTGAGAAGCTCCTTGACCAGGGGAAGACTGATGACAAGGACCTTCCTCCAGAGGTGACAGGGAGAGAAAGCCTTCCCCTGGAGCTGAATTCGGACTTCTACTAGACTAGGAGAGAATATGTTTCTTTTTGTTAAAGCCATCCACTTATGGTATTTCTGTTATAGCAGCACTAGATAACTAAGACAACTGGGTTCCAATAAAACTCCATTTACAAAAACAAGCGGTGGAATGATGCAATGGGTTGATTTTTGTCCAAAAAGATATGCTGAAGTCTTAACCCCTGGTATCTGTGAATATGGCCTTATTTGGAAATAGGGTCCTTGCAGATGTAATTAGTTAAGTTCACATGAGGTCTTACTGAAGTGGGGGGGGCCCTAACCCAGTATGACTGGTGTCCTTATAAGAAGAAGAGATTTAGATGCAAAGAGAAGTCAACCATGTGAAGACATAAACAGAGACTACAGTGATGTTGCCACAAGCAAAGGAACATTTGAGGCTACCAGAAGCTGGAAGAGGCAAGGAAGGATCTTCCCCTAGAGCTTCAGAGAGAGCATGGCCCTGCCATCACCTTGATTTCAGACTCCTAGCCTCCAGAACTGTGACAGAATAAATTTCTGTTGTCTTAAGGCATCCGGTTTGTGGTACTTTGTTACAACATCCATAGGAAACTAATACAGTCAAATAATGCCCACAGTCGTAGTTTGTAACTCCTGCCTTAGAACAAAGCAGTCCTAAAGAGTATCAAGTCTTCAACCTCAACATCATTAGCACAGTGTCTTACCAACTGATTTAACCAAACACCGATGATTCTTATGTGCACCCTGATGTTTAAAGACCCCCAAAAAGCTGAGTCAAGGTTAGCAATCAAGGCTCCCCAAAACTAAGATACTCACCCGGAAAAATCTGTAGCGAGAATTCCATAGTGGAATATGTATATTCGGCTAATGTGGCATATTGTAAGGTATCCCATTGCTACAAAAAAGGTGTATCTGAAATGAAAGACACAGAAGATCGGATAGTTATTCATGACAATGATACTCTTAATAAACTTACTCTTCTTCCTCTCCATCATCCTCCACATGCAATTGGTCACGAAGTCCAATCTAGTCTATCTACAACCCAATCAATCTGCTGTCCTCATCTTCCCTCCCCGGTGCCCAGATTGAGCCATTTATCTTGTCTCACCTGGATCACTGCAGTGGTTCCCAATTTTATTCTGGTTTAACTGTTACACAATGCCAGGTGGCACAATGGTTTAGCGCTCAGCTCCATGAGGGTAACGACGATCGTATGTGTTTTGTACACCATACTGACCTACTATTTGTTGAATGAATAAACAACTAGGTGAATGTTACTCTCCTTAAAAGACTCCAGTGGATCCCATTATCTATTCAAATCAAATCTCCTGAACACAGCATACAAGGTATTTCACATGCGAAGCTCGCCTTACCTTTCTGGACTCATCTCTAGGCATTCACAAAACTACTGGACTGCTCACTTGCCACAATTAACCAGTACCAGTTGCCACTGAGCTGATTCTGACTCATGGCGACCCCATGTGTGTCAGAGTAGAATTGTGCTCCACAGGACTTTTAATGGCTGATTTTTCAGAAGTAGATCATCAGGCCTATCTTCCAAGGCATCTCTGGGTGGACTGAACCTTCAACCTTTCAGTTAGCAGACAAGGGTGTTAACTATTTGCACCACCCAGGGACTCCTTTCCACAATTACATCCTGCATTTTCAGACCAGATGTCTTTCTGCATGCTCCTCCCTCTGCCGGCAACTCCTTTCTCCACCCTAAATTTATCTGGAAACGTTCATCAGGTAAGGCTCAGCTCCAATGTCATCTCTTCAGTATTACTTGACTTGGTCTTGCTCCATTCATCCTACCTCACCTTTCACCCCTCACCCTTCACCCCTTTCCCCCATCCCTGGGCACAACTCCCTGCTCCCTTGCTTCTATTTCTCTAGTACTACATGCTAATATATGCAATTATAATATTAAAATTATGTCTGTCTGTCTCCCCAACTCACTGTGACCTTGAGTATCCCAACCCTTGACTTGACACATAAGAGGAATTCAGCTGCTATTAGTTGAAATAAACTGAAACAAACACATTAAACACATTTAAATGGTTCAAGAACCCATCAAATACCACATAAATTCAGAAAGTATAATTCTTAAAAAACAAGGAAGACATATATTCTGATATTAAATTATACTGAAATTCACAAATTCACATTAAAATAACTCATGAAGACTAAACTAAGGAATCGTAAAACAGCCACAGTAAAAATTCATTTGGTAGCAAGGGGCAGCCAGATAATCTGTGTGAAGGAGTTCTGGAAACTCTAAAGCACTATATAACTTTAAGTTCTCTTTACCATTATTTGCAAACAAGAGTATTATTATACAAAAATATTTTTTCCTATCCTGAGTTTATCCTTACTTAATCTTTGCCAAGCCAGGAAGACAGTGAGCAAAGCTAATGATTAAAAAAAATAACAAAAACCAGTTGCCATCTAGTCAACTTCAACTCATGGTGACCCCATGTGTATCAAGAGTAGAACTGTGCTCTATACAGTTTTCAATGGCTGATTTTTCCAAAGTAGATCACCAAGCTTATCTTTGCAGGTACCTCCAGGAGGACTCGAATTGCTAACCTTTTGGTTAGCAGCTGATTGCTAACCATTTGCACCACCCAGGGACTCCAAGAAAAGGCAAACAACTCTCTTAAGAGCAGTAGGAGAAAGGAGTTGGGTGTCCTTGTCTCAGATACCTGTTCTGTTACTCCAGCCCATGCAAGAAAATCAAAGCAGAAGCACAAAGCAGGTTCAAACACCCGCTAGGGCCTGTCCAGATTCTTCCAGGGCCCCTTCAAATGTGGCCACACCTGATGCTTTCCCTTTGTCCTCAGTAGAAGCTAGCCTTCTGTCCTTCCTCTGGCCCAGAGGGAAAAGCAGGTTCAATTCAACTGCTGTACTAAGACCCCACCTATTAAAATGCTGTCAAGTGTTGCCAATACAATAAAGCAATACAGGTACGCCCTGAACAAACCTGAAAAATCTAAGGAATCCAGGAGTGGTGGAGAGAGTGCGTATTCTGGAAACTAACCAGCATGAGTTCATCAAATCCCAGCACTGGCAAAACTAATCTGTAGTGTGAAAACTCCAGATAGTGGTTCTCTTTAGAAAGAAGGGGTATAAGATTGGGCATAAGTGCCCGTAATATTCTCCTTATTGACCTGGGCAGTGGATTCCAGGGTGTGTTCACCTTGTGAAAATTCATTGAGCTGTACATTTATTTACCTCTCTGGCTTTCATTTCCTCATCTCAGAAAAAAAAAAAAAATACAAAGCCCTGGTGGCACAGTGGTTAAGATCTATGGCTGCAAACCAAAAGACTGGCAGTTCTAATACACCAGCTGCTCCTTGGAAACCTTATGGGGCAGTTCTACTCTGTCCTATAGGGTCACTATGAGTTGGAATCGACTCGATGGCAATGAGTTTGGTTTTGGTTTATACAGTTGTCCTAGAAATAATATATTTGAAATAATGAAATGAAATACTAAGTAATATAATAATATGCTAAATGGTATAGTAAATAACATTTTATATATTAAAAATAATGACATAATGTATTAAAAAGAGCTTGGCTTAGTACTTGGCACAAAGCAAATACTCCCGAAATGATAACCACATCTCGAAGTTCTCACGTGAAGCCTTCTGACCTAACAGATACAAAATATGTTCTGCTCTAGTTGGTTCACAGACGGTAAATTACTCCCTGTGCCTTCTGCCCAACACAATGGCTTGGGAAGGAAATTGAGGTGGGACCCCCAAGAATCCTCAAAACAATTCCTGAAAACAACAATCAGTCCAAAAACAGCTACAGCAGCAAATAGTAGCTACCCCCTCCTCTTCTCCAGCTGTACTGCAGAACTCTTATTAATGACTCAGTGAAGTAAAGAGAACAATTCACTCCTTGGGCTTAATATGTACAAAGAATCATGAAATCATGGTTTGAAGAGAACCTTAAGTGTAAACTAGTAAACCAAAAACCAAACTAAACCAGTTGCCATGGAGTCAATTCTGACTCATGGCAAACCCATGTGTTTCAGAGTAGAACTGTGCTCCATAAGGTTTTCAACAACTGTGATCTTTCAGAAGAAAATAGCAGGACTTTCTTCTGAGGCGCCTCTGGGTGGGTTCAAAGCATCAACCTTTCGATTAGTAGGTGAGGGCTTAACTGTTTCAGAGACTACTAAAACCCCACATTGTACAGGTGCGACATCTGATGTACATAGAAGCTGAGTGACTTTTCCAAACACACTACTAGGAAGAGCCAGATTTCCGAACTCCTGTTCCAGTGCTTTTTCCTTCATCAACAGGAAACAACTTTGGAATTATTCTTTTAAATCACATTGAGTCCATCCATTGGGAACTACGAGCCACTCCCTGCCTCTGCAATATTGGCAACCACACAAGCAAAGAAAGGGAAAGAATTTGTTTTGGCATCTTTTCTTTTTGGTCTTGTGGCAGCAGCCCTTTGCAACCACAATATTCCTGTGGTAAAACAGTCACAGCCTGTCTATAAACTGCTCGCTGCTGCCACACCTGGAGTATTCCGTTTCTGGCCAGAGTATTCCATTCCTGGCCCAAGAGTAACACAGCGAACCTGGACCTGGCACAGAACGACTGCACATGTACGTTCTTGACCCTCTGAAAAATGGACCATACCCCATCCCCCATCCGCATTGCACACGTGTGGGGAGTGCTGACAAACCACAATCTGTAAGGTAGCTGGAAATGTACTACAGATGCAACAAATATTATTATTGATCATTAACTGTTTCCAAAATCAAGTTCAGAAAAAGCCAAGCATTTCCACCCATCCCCCACCCCACCCCCCAAAAAAGGCTTTCATAAGCATTTTATCATAATATGAAGCACTTTCAAAAGCCATTCTTTCTGAATTAGAAATATGGATTTCCTATTTCCCTTCTAGAAGGGATGACACCATCACCTTCAAGCAGACCATTTGGAACAGAGCTGATGAGAACTAAAATTTTCAGAGCACTTTCAGATACTAAGCTGAATGACTATGAAATTTTAAAGCATGCAAACATACACTTCCTCAAAAGCCAGAGCAGGGTTGTACACTGAAAAGTTAAATTGCAACGCTCATGAGAGGGAAAACTAGTATGAATCAAAGTCTCTTTCTGAAGCTGAAGTAAGGTATCTGCTTTTCAGAAAAACAGTCATAAAAGAAGCCATTAAAGGGCAAATGACTTTTAAGAGTCTCTCAGCCATTCATTCAGTAAATATTTATTGAGTCCTTCCTTGGGCTGTTTTAGGTTTGTGGACATAACAGTGAACAGGAGAGAAAAGTCTTTGTTCTCAGAGAGCTCACATTCTAGTGTTACGGAAAGGCAGAATTAATATTAGGTTTTCAGAAAGACCACATGAAATTGAGACAATGCAAAACAGATACCCCAGGTATCCCAATTGATTATCCAAACACATAGCTTTGAAGGTAGAATTAAATTACTTCTGTGGTTTAAAATCAAAATATCCTAGTAAGAATATGTCTTTCTTTTTTTTCTTGAACAGTCTTATTGCACTTATTTAAAGTGTACCATTTGATAAGTTTTCACATTTATACCCAGAAAAGAATTACCAAATTCAGGATAATGAACATGTCCATCACCCCCCAAAAGTTTCCTCATGCCCCTTTGGAATTCCTTTCACACCTCCTGCACCACCCTGCCCCAGGTAATCACTGATAGGATTACTGTCACTATAGATCAGTTGACATTTTCTATGAATAGAATTCCCGTGGCTTCCTTCCTCCAGTATATTTATTTTGAAATTCATCCATGTCACTGTATAAATAGTTCATTCCTTTTTATTGCTGAGTACTATTCCAGTTATACTCTGTCCTTATGGGGTCACTATGAGTCTGAATCGACTAGATGGCAAGGGGTT